CGCACATGCGTGCTCTAAGGAAGAACCAGTGGGGCTCAGCGTTCTTCTGCAGTTTGGCAGAAGGTCTTGACCCTGGCTTCACCCAACCTTCTCAAGCTGAGACGTTTGTTTCCTCCAGTTGCTTGAGAGCTGCTGACGTCCATGAAGACACTGGATGGTTTTCCATGTGCTTGCAGCTCTCTTTAGTGGCTCTGAGTGCTCACCTTTGGGCTTTCTTTTTGTTTTAGCGAAGCAAGTCTTTCCTGATAGAATAGTGGTTCTCAGCCTTCCTAATGCTACAACCCTGTACTACAGTTCCTCACGTCGTGGTGACCCCCAGCCTTCATAACTGTAATTTTGCGACTGTTATGAATCACAATGATGGTCTTAGATGACCCCTGTGAAAGGATCATTCGACCCCCAGGGCGTCTCAACCCCCAGGTTGAGAACCACTGCGCTAGCGGCCCTGCACTGAGGATAGGCATCTACGTGTTCTGTTCACTGTGACCTCTTTTCTTCTGTGGTGTACTTGTGGCCAGTTTTCATTTCATTCTTGCTCAGCCTGACTCCCTTACAGCTGCTACTATTGTGCTTCACTGCTGTGTTCCTGGCCCTAGAGGAGGAAGAGGGCAGATCTCTGTTTCCTGAGCACCTGTTCCAGGGTGCTGAGCTGGTAGAGCCCATTCAGGGTGGCATTTGGGCACCACCAGCACCGGGCTCAAGGTCAGCAGGGGGGAAGAGCCCTGAAAGAATGGAAGAGTGGGCGAAGAAGCTAGGTCAGGTGCCATGGTCCAGCATGCCTACTCCTCCACCCTCCTCCACCTTCCTCCACCCTCCTCCACCCTCCTCCACCTTCCTCCACCCTCCTCCACCCTCCTCCACCTTCCTCCACCCTCCTCCACCGTCCTCCACCGTCCTCCACCCTCCTCCACCTTCCTTCACCCTCCTCCACCCTCCTCCACCCTCCTTCACCTTCCTCCACCCTCCTCCACCCTCCTCCACCCTCCTCCACCCTCCTCCACCCTCCTCCACCCTCCTGCACCCTCCTGCACCCTCCTGCACCAGCAGGTCCTCTGCAGCCCTGTTTAAGAGACATGCTCCTGAGCATCTGTCTGACTTGAGGGAACCCCGGCTGACCAAGAAGGCAGCTCTTGCGTGATTCCCTGAAAGAGGCCCCATCCCTGCCTGAGAGAAGACCTAAGCAGGAAAGTCATTCCCAGCTTGGCTCCACCAAACTCTGTTTCACATTAGAAATCCATCCTCCTCCTTCTGGGATACTGGCCTGTGTCTTCAGAAGGAGACCGGAAAGGTGGGGAGGGGGAGAACAGAGGAAGGCAGAGGCTGTCTCCTAAGGAGCAAAGGGCGATCAAGGGCAGAGGGCAAGCCTGTTGCGTTGTCCTCAGAACTGGGGTGTCCCCAGAGCTGGAGCACTGGACCTGGCCCTTCAAGGTCTTGACAGTGACCCTCCCTCCATTAAGTAAGCATTCCAAAGACAGAACCAGAGACAGCTGTCCTTGCTGTGGCCCACACCAGGCAGCAGAAGGTTCCACTTGCTTCCAAGCAGTCTCACTACAAACAAACTGGATCCAATTAGCCTTCTTTGACGGGGGATGCGCAGATTATTTGAGGATAACACAACCACACCATGGATAAACTTCAAAATTAGATTTTCTGGACAGTTACCTCATTAGTGAGCTAAGCAGAAATAACTAATTGGGGAAAAAATTTTCCAGAAAGCACTCCCTTACCATCCACACATACCCATATACGTATGCACCGTACGCCCATATGGACCCTCCTACACACATAAAATAAGCCCTGGGGACCAAGAGGCTCCTGGGATGGGCGTGGCAAAGGGTTACCACACCTAGTGTTCAAGTATGGACTAGGAATCCATGCCTGTGGCTCCAACACTTATTCTGCTTTTCAGCTTCCTGTTCTCATTACAATCCTTTCCACGGACATCATTTCTCTTTGCTGCAATTTCAGGTCCCATTCAGGGGAGACGCTATGAAGCTCCCTGCCTGCAGCTCTGATGGCATCTGCCTATGCTGCCAAAGAGGGTCACAGTTATCAGCTGTCCTCAGTGTCCACTCTCCTCACCAATTTTAAAGGGCAAACATTGTGCCCACTTGCTGGATGTGAACAGAGGCTCAGAAACATACCTAGTGACGTGCTTCAGTGAGCTTTCTGCCACTCACCCTAAACATCTAATTACCTAAGACAGCCAGCTTGGAGGAGGAAAGGTTTGTCTGGCTGGCCGTTTCAGGGGGGTTGGCTTCACGGTGACAGGATCCAGGCTCTAGAGTCTGTGCTGACACAGACATCATCCTGGGGGCACACAGTAGAACAAAGTTCTCAAACTACGGAAAAACTGAAGCCAAGAAGCAAAGAGAAATATCAAGGGCCTAGTACTCCAATACCTGCTTCAAAGCACTTATCCAATGACTTAACTTCACCTAGGTTCGGACTCCTAAAGGTCCCACAGATTCCCAAAGCGTCACAGGTTAGGAACCAAGCCTTTAGTGACGAGTCTGGGCGGGAGAAGGGGCTGTTAGAGAGCCGGACTGTAACACAGGCCTAGAAGCAGATAACGAGCAAGGCTCAAAAATGGCAGACACTGTTGCTCGCAGGCCTCATCTGCTGTTACGTCACCTCTAACAGCTCCCTCCCACGCCAGGGTCCCGGATTTGCAGCCATGCACTTTCTGCAAGTGGCTTCTGGAAGCAGCTATCTGACCCGGTAGGAACAGTTATGGAGTCCTTTAGGGAAACATTAGAGGGTACGGGATTTGTGTCCCCCCTGACCTGTGACCAGTGAGAACACAGGGATCCTTCACTGTTTCCCTTCAGGTCCTTCCTGAAAGGTCAAAGTGACACATGTAATAGCCACCCACAGGAACTGCTGAGTCTGGACATTTCCATGGTGCTAATCAAAATGCCACCTTTTCCCTCACACAGGAAGGAAAAGTTCATCTGAGCACTTTTTATAGTGATAAATTGAGGGGTAACATTGTCTAGATCAGTGGTTCTCAACATGTGGGGTGTGAACCCTTAGATGTCTGACGGGGGTCATATATCAGATATCCTACATATCAGATATTTACATCACAGTTCATAACAGCAGCAAAATTACAGTTATGAAATAGCAATGAAAATAATTTTATGGTTGAGCATCACCATAACACAAGGCACTATGTTAAAGAGTCACAGCATTAGGAAGGTTGAGAACCACTGGCCTAGATCTTCTTTCTAGAGGTAGACTTCTTCTTCAAGTGCTGAAGTATATTATGAGGGATGTGGATGCCTAAATACAATATGTGCCATGGAAAGACAAGTCTCCACCAGGAGCTCTGGACCACAGTGTGTCAACTAGAGATGCCTGTGGGATGTATACAGACAGGGATGAAGACAAGCTGCCACCATCTCCTAACAATATCCACATTTTCCAATGGTTTTAATCCACTCAAATTTTTTATCAGCATCACTGTCCTCAGCTTAAGGACAATATACTTAAAACTCACAAGGATGGAAAGAGACACACAGAGCATTACATTTACAAAGCCAAGCAGATGAGAGGTTTACTGAGCAAACAGAAAATACACTTTACATAAAAAACATAGAAATGTGTTTTCTTTAAAACCCTGTCTGTGTGCCAAGACCAGCGTGCACATGATGTGACCACTCTGCATAAATGAAGACTATCTTTCCATCTAATTAATAGGTTCCAGTTGTCAGAATGGAATGAAATTGACCAAGGGTCCATGGAATTCTGCAGACAGCTCATGTCTTCCAGGAGCTCTGCTTCATGAGCAAGTCTGAAAATTGCCGCCAGCAGCATCCAGCCCAAACGCCTTTGGAGAGCCAAAGCCAAACCTCCCCACACCCCAGCCCTTGCCTGAAGGCAATAGGGAGGAAGAATATTCCAGAAAAGGGAACAGCCTGTGCAAAGGATCAAAAGTCATGAAAGGGCAGTGTGTTCCCAGAATGGGAGAGGTTGACGCAACAGAGCCTGAACTGTAAGCCCCCACCCCGGTTCAAAAGCAGGGTTTTATTTTTTATATCAGCAGGCAGGAATGAAGCTAACGACATGCAGGTGCCCACGGGAGGGCCTGCGGGTAACACATGGGAGGCAGGCTCCTGGAGAAGGGTAGCAGAAGCCCTGGGAAGCAGGGACATTCTTAGGATGAGTGAAGAGAACCCGGGAAAGGCCTAGGAGAAAAGGGCGCCAAAGAAGGGCGTGGGAGTCACTACCTGATGCAAAGTTGACGTCGATGTGTGTCGGGGTGAATTCGGGAGCACCCCCACCCCAGCTGCTATTACAGCACAGCTATGGAGAGGAAGAACAGAGAAGTATGGCTGGGGTTCCACTCCACTTCCAGGGGGGGCATGAGCACTCTCCTACCCCGCCACCCCAAAGGCATAGGATCTAATGTGACTTTGCAAGCCCAGTGTGGTGGCACACACTTGTAATCACAGCAGGCAAGGAGACCGAGGCAGGAAGATCTTTTTGAGTTCAAGGCCAGCCTGGGATAACTATCCAGATCTATCTCAAACAAACAAACAAACAAACAAAACTAACAACAACAAAACCACCACCCCACCACCCCCACCGAGACACACTCACACACACACACACACACACACACACACACACACACACACACAGAGATGGGTGGGCGGGCAGACAGACAGACAGATAGACAGAGAACAAAAACACAGAAGCACAAATGGACTTTGCCGATAGAAAGGGAGGAGAAAGGCTGAGCTTCCCAGTTGTGGTATTTTGTCACCTGCACCTGGTTCTTGCAGGGCCATTTCTCCCTTTGTCTCCTGGGGAGACACACTAGGGAGAAGTTCTGGATGCTGGGCCTTCCAGATGGGGGAGAAGTTGATAATTACAGGTCCAACCAGCAGGGGCAGAGGGCCCAGACACTCCCTGGTCGGCTCCACCCCACACATGGTTGCCATGGCCATCCCACTTATCTGACCCCTTGCCTCCATGCTATGGCCCCTCCTTACCCCCTGATGATGTCAATAGGGCTCTTTTCTTCCTTCGGCATCGTGTCCTGGAGTTCAAGGGAACGTCAAGGCTGGGATTGTTCTTTTCGGCAAGTGGACGGGAGCGGCAGCCTTTGAAAGTATCCAGAAACCTGCTGGGCCTTTCTTCCTAAACACCAGTGGGCAAGGTGCTTGGCAGAGGCACAGCCTGCACTGGGAACAGGAGCCAGGCAAGCTGCCAGCTGCCCAGCGTGTCCTCAGAACAGTGTCCAAGGAAGCTTTCCAGGAAACAAACGGAGCCGTGGAGGTGCTGCTTCCAGCCCCTGAGAGGCCTAGAATGTGGAAGGGCTCGCTCCCATGCATCTGGGGCTGCACATGGGTGTGCTGGGACAGCGAGCATGGCAAAGGCCCAGTCACGGGACACAGAAAACAGCCTGGTCTGTGTCTGTCACTCAGCAAGGCCAGGGATGTGCTTCACAGCCACACGGAGGTCAGCGGTCATAGGTACTGCAGGGCGGCTGTGGGCTTCACCAGAGGGCCCAGGTGAGAAGCCAGTCACCAGCATACCTCAAGGGGCACCAAAATGCATGAAAGAGAACACAGGGTTCTACACCTGCAGGGTGTAGGCAGGTACCACTGGCTTCTCCAAAGTCTCTGCTCATCTGAGCCCCACAAACAAGGCCTGCCCGCCTCACTCCTCCCTGGAGCCCATCCCTTTGCAAGCAGTGTGACTGTTTGTGATCGCTCCCTGGCTGCCAGGGGACACAGCTTTCCAGTCTCCAGTCCAGCACTTAGCAGAGCCCTCTAGTTCCCCACACAGGACGTGGGGAGACTACCCGACTCCTGGTACCCACTTATGGACCTGTCAATAACTCCGATCAGTGGGGTTGCCAACACTCCCCACCACACTGTACACTACATCACTTTTACCCTCACTTCAGCAAAGACAGGCCAGTGGAAAGACCCATGAACTGTCCTTAGCCATTCTATGTCAGTGTGAATTACAGTGTCATGTCCTCAACTTTGAGTATTCGGCCGATGCTAGTTAGTACTCCTTCCTTCCCACCAGACTGCTGTTGTCCGTGTACTGTGCTATAAGGAAGAGCAAGCTCTGTCCTGATCCACTGAGCGTCTAGGGAGAGAGACTTCACCTGTGTCTGCAGCTTGATGGAGGAGGTGCTGATGCCTGCCACGGGGTTCAGAGGAGAAGAAGCTGCATCACTGGAGAGCTGGTGTGGAGCCAGCCAGGGAAGGATGGATTCAGTCTTGTAGGTAGTGGTGGGAGACACCAAGGAAGAGCAAGACAGATCATAAGAAAGCATCAGGTTCTGAGAGACAGGTGCCCTTTGGTTAGAAGCAGGGCGAGCCCATGAAGGGGAAAAGAACAGAGATGATCTTGACTACAGGCTGCAAACAGCCTGAAGTATGAAGGTGAGCCAGAACTGTGTCACCCGAAAACAGAGAGAGGCCATTTGTGGTGGAGCAGGGCAAACAGAGCACAAGAAACTTCTAGAAGGGCCCAGAGAACAGCACCTGAGTAGGCAGCCAAGGAACTGAGTGACAGGTTAAGTCAGTCAGCTGCACAGCAGCCCTCTTTGTACACAGTCAGGAAGGGTAGAAGAAGCCAGAGGTGGACAGGGTCAGGGATGCAGGACCATTGTCCCTACAGACCCCTTCCTAACTGTCATCACTGATTGTGTTTCTGCCTAGTCCTAAACATTCTAGCTAAGCTCAGTGGTCTCACCAATTTCTTTCCAGACTCCCCTACTCTCATTTGAAAATGTTCAAGCCCCACAGCAAGGAGGAAGGATGATGCATTTCCCTGCTGTGTCCTCTGAGCACACAGTGGCCTGGCCTCTGTCTAGCCCTGTGCGGCCCATGCAGCCGTGCCTGGGCTGTTGGGCCAGCCCCTCTAGGTTGGGCAGGCCCAGCTGCAGTCCCGCCACAGGGAGCCCTCTGCTCTTCACGCTCTGTTGAGATTTCTCAATGGACTGTAACTTTCTTTTCAGAAATCCTATTTGGCTTCAAAGTCAAAGCAGATTGTTCTCTTCGGGGACTGCAGAGATGTTCAAAGTTTGCCTCCCAGAAATGACTGAAATATGTTGGAAGTTGGAAGTGATAATACATACACACACACACACACACACACACACACACACACACACACACACACACACATTATTGCCCTTGATCTTCAAATGCAAATGTTAAAAATCCGCAGATATAAGGCAACTATGAAAATTCTCATGTTCTCGCTAGAGTCAAAGCTCAAACTTAATCTGTCCTTTCCAAGAGGTCAGCCTGGCATTAGAGGCCTAGATGGTGAGGCTATAAGAGAGAATTGCCAGGGTTCTTGAATCACTCTAGGTCTCTCAGCCCTAAACCAGGGCCTAAGAGAAGACCAGAAACCCATGAATAGCCCTGCCAAGCAACTTCAAGCCAAGGAGATTAGTAGAAGGAAGAAATGCAGAAGGCCCCTAAGGAGGTGCTATCATGGGGAAATGTAATGAGCAGTGTTGAGAGGGAAGGGAGAGAGAGGACGAGATGTGAGAGTGAGGAAGATGAGGTCCAAGGGAAAACTGGGCTCAGGTTATTCAAGCAGGAGTTAGTCAATTGTCTCTGTGAAGGGCCAGATGGTAAACAATTAAAGTTTGTGGATTTATAATCGTCTCCATTCAGCTCTGCCTTTGTACAAAAGCTCAGTCAGGAGCAATATGTAACTGAATGGCTTGTGCTGTGTTCCAGTAAAACTTTATTGACAACAATGGGCTGAGGGCCAGATTTGGCCAGATGAATTAGCCGAAAAGCGTCTGAAGACTTAGCCAGAGAACTGTTGTTTGCCTTCCTTTATTTTGGTGCCTTGTAGACCGTATTGTAAAATGTCACTTATTTTTAATAAGATGATAGATAGATGAGATTTCAAAGGTCAAGAATAAAGTGATGTGGTTTATGTTTACAAGATCACTCCAGCTGTTAGTTGGAAAAGAGATTGCAGGTCACCATCAGAACCAGGTCAAGAATGTGGGGGTTCTGTGCACAACAAAGACCTCCCTAAAGAGGCTGCTACAGTAGGTCAAGCTGCCTACCTGTTTTCATGACAGAATCACACTCCCCAGCCTGTGAATTCAGACATGGGCACATGATGAACATTAGCACACACACACACTCAAATTTAGAGAGAGTTGAGACACATTTTCTTTCTTTCCCCTACTATGGTAAAATATATTCTAGTAGCTGCCTTGGGAGTTCTTGAGTGAGAATAAAATGGAGCAGAAACACCCATTGCAATCCAGTGCTCATAGAGTAAGAGCAAGAAATAAGTCTGGTTCTTAAGCCACCATGAGTGGAGCGCTGTCTGTGTCAGGAGCCAGCCCAGCTCGTTATAACCAAGAGAGGTAGGTTGACAAATGACGGGAAGTGGGCCCACAGAGGCTGAGTCTTCACAGCAAAGCTGCAGAGCTTACTGATGAGTCAGTTGCAGGGTGTTTGAAGGTAAACAGAGGATGGCTTGTGGGGAATTCAGCCTGAGCCACTAGGTTAGCAAGAATGCACAAAACGGGAGACTCATGAGGATGTTCACCCAGCCAGGCTGGCCAGACTTAAACAATGGTTGAGTGTGTAGTAGCTGTGGACTTGGACAACTAGCAAGCTTTCTCATGGAAGTTTGAAATGAAATGGAAATAAAAGCAGTATTTACTTCATGGGGCTATCTAAAGGACTGACCTCACAGCTCCCAGGCCCAGTCTCGTGTTCTCTGTAGAGCTAAAGCCCAAAGCTTAAAACTTTTCTTTCCATGAGAAGGCTGGTCAGCTTGGCATTAGAGCTCCAAAAGAAAGTCAATGCTGCTGTCCTTAATGTCTTCACATCTAAGAACTTGTGTGAGTTGAGTCAATTCTTTATGCTCAGAAAGTGAGCCCTATAAACCAGTGCCTGGAACTACAGAGCTGATAAGCACAGCCTGGCTCAGCCTTCCTTTGAGCTCTGTCCATCCAGATGCTGGCCAGCCTGGCTGAGCTTCCCAGGGCCATGCTCACGTCTGCCAGCTCTGCCTAGCTCCAGACAGCCAGTGCAGAGTAACATGAGGGTTCCTGTTTCCACAATGAATCCACAGAGAATCTCTGGTTGGGTGACTTTGGTATTGTCCTCTCTTATCTCTGTCCTCATTGGATGACAAGTGAAATCATACTCAAGAAAGTTCTAGAGAAGTATCACTCATTAGTTACATATACTTGGCCATTTAAAGAATTAAAACCACTATAGTATACTATCTTCAAAAGCTGAAAGGCATGGTTATTTTCCTCACAGTCCGAGTATCATCCTTGAGGCCTTTTGTAGCCTCCCTAAAACCAATACCTCCCACAAGCCCTGTCCCCTGACTGCTGACAGTGTTGGGTTCTTACAGATCTCAAACTGGTCACAACCCACCCTAGAGCTGACTCATGTCTGAAAGTGGGAGTGTGGGAGACAAAGGAGCAGCCCCTTGCTTAGACCCATAGAGCCATGCAAATGCTTGCATCCATCATATAACTGTCTGCGGCACTGTCTGAGGAACTACATGAAACCTAAGCCTCTCTCGGCCTAAGCTTGCTTCACTAGTTCTGCACATGCTCTGAGACCACAGTCACGGAAACACAGAGAACCCTGCAGCCCCAGAGGCTGTTGGCCCCCAGGTTGTCTCTCCTGGAGCTACAGGGGATGTCTCTGACCACCTCACATGAAGTATATGTCACCCTGCCTGTGCCGTGACTGATACCCAAAATGTTCTGCCAGTGTGAGCTACAGACAAAGAACATCATCTGGCCACCCTAGTCCATCTACCTTTCTCCTTCCATCCTAGTCCTCTGCCTTCAGAGAGTGATAACGAAACAGGAAAATATACCCTGCAGGTTAAGGGTTCTGTTTGCAGTTAAGCCCGTTAAGAATGAGTTCCTGTTTGTTCTGTGTTGGTTTGACCTGTGTGCACCAGCTGTGCTTGGTCACATGTATGCAGGAGGTATGTGAGCAGGAAATATGCTCACCCCTGATTGGATGTAGGCAGGAGCTACAAGGGCCGGAAATGTGTCAGGATATACACTTGCCCCTGATTGGACCTGATGGGAAATGCAATGAATTCTGGGTTTTGCCTTTTTAAGCCCCTGCAAAACATGACTTGTGGCCACTTCCTGGAAATCCAGGGGTGGACCTGACCAGAGTCCATTTTTCTGGCCAGTAT